CTCTCTCTCTCTCTCTCTCTCTCTCTCTCTCTCTCTCTCTCTCTCTCTGTCACACACACACACACCACTTGTGGGGAGTCCAATATGTACTACTGACATCAGTGTTTGTCAGGTGCCAGCAGCTCCACATGAGCTCCCTGAGCCAAACATGAAAGCAATTGCAGTAATGATGGTGGTAGCAGTATCAACATCAGTAATCAAAACACAATGGGGAATTTAATATAGTCATGCTCAGATTTAGGTTCTGATGTGTATCCTTTCCACTTGCAATCTCCAAATCAGGTCCTCTGATGATTTCTCAAGGTACAGTTGGTCCTTCATATTTATAGACTCCACATCACATCCATGGAATCAACTTAACCCAGATCAAACAATTCAGAAAAAATAAATGCACTTATACTAGCCTGTACAGACTTTTTCCTTGCCATTATTCCCTAAACAATATACTGTATCAACAATTTACATAGCATTTACAATGTGTCAGGTGTTACAATTATCTGGATATGATTCAAAGCAAAGAGGAGGAGGTGCTTAGGTTCAAATGCAAATGACATACCATTTTACATAAGGTACTTGAGTGCCTGTGGATTTTGGTATTCTCAGGGATTCTTGAAACCAATGCCCAGAGGGTACCCACAAACAAGTGTATTTTTTTACTAGACTCTTAGAGCAGCAGACAAGGGTCACATTTTTTGTTGTTGTTGTTTTGTTTTTTGGTCCCCATGCAATATGAGAATATGGCTCCAGAATCATTGACTGCAATGTGGTGCTAGCAAGTCACAAACACTCCAGTCTAGTACAATGCACACAGGAAACATGGTACAATTTATTGACACATCTTACATGAAATATAAAGATTTTGCAGATGTTAATTGAAAGGATGTTCAAATATGAATATGATATCTTGAAAAAGAGGTTTCTGGTTCTTAATGTGACTCTCCTTTACATGTACTATCAGAAAAATAAACTAGCATATGAAAAGAGGATGAGGTCTATCTACTGCAAGTCATTAATGATGTGGTAATTGAAACTGAGTGATACCTCCTAATCCTGCCCTCTACCAAGACTGCAATATCTATTTCTGAAATCTATGATGGGATAAAAGGCAGAGGGCAATTATGCAATATTTCACTTAAATAGGCATTAATGAAGTATTGACATGTTAACAACTAAAATACAATACTGAGTCATTCATGCACAGAAAAGAATATATTGCAGTACTTGCCTGGGGAAGTTTATAGCTTAGATCAGGAGTCAAGCATTTTGAAGTGCTTACAGAGCCAGAGAGAAAATATAAATGTCTAAATCTAGGCAATGCATAATAGGGACTGGTAGAGACTGTGGTAAACTAGAAGCCCTTGGCCTGACTAAAAGAGGCCATCTGGGTTCAGCTCCAGTTGGGAGTTATCCTGCAATCATGTTGGCCCAGTGTTGACAGAGCTCCCAATTTTGCAAGAGAAGTTGGGATCTGATGTGTGCCCGTAGAATCCTTAGACATTATAGGTATAGGAGGATCTTTGGCACAACCTTCAATTCATCACATACACTTATAACACCACTGAAATGTTCATAAACACTCTTTGAAAATGACTTCTTGAATACCATCACAGAGGAGCAATGGTTATCTTTTGAAGCAGGAAATCAATTTACAGGGCAGAAAGTTTTTTCCCTTATGTCAAATCCTTTCTGATCTTCATAAGAAGAAACAGTGTTGATTCAGGTTCTGAATTCTGTAGCAACTATTAAGAACAGTCCTTGTCGTCTTCAATAATATGAAGGCCCTTACATGCCCTATCAAATACCTTCTCCAATCTAAATGAAGTCAGCTCCTATAATCTTTACCATCATGGCTTGGATTCAGTTCCTCTTACCATATTGGACAGATTTTTCTGGATTTATTTGCCTTTTAGGGTCCTTCTCTGAATAAAATGTCAGAAGCAAACTCATTCTGAACACAGAACTGAAGGGACATGTACCCTGTAGCCCTTTTGACAGATAATGCCATCCCATTCCTGATCTCTAAAGAGCTTAAAATCTATTGAGAACTCATCTCTCCCAGTCTGTTCTGTGTGTCAGAGGAGTCTGTAGTCAGTATTTTTCCCCCCTTCTCCTTGTCCTGCATAGTTATTGTGGGCAACTCCCACAGGCTACCCTTGATGTCCATTAATTGATGCAGATTATCCCAGGGGATTATGTGACCACTCTCTCCTTGTGTCTTCCAGGTGAGGAAGTGAAAACATGTCTCTGTTTTTGCTTGTTCCTGGGTATTCCCTCCTAGCTGTTCTTTTAATTAAAGTTTCCTTAATTTCCAAGTTTGAGTGTTTGCTTTTTTCTTGCCCAAAATATGACTGATAGAAATACGTAGGCTGTTTTCTCATAAAGTTGACCTAATAATGCCCTCATCATACTGTGTATGAGGTTAAATGAGATCATGATGACCTATTCTCCTTTTTCTCCCTATACTTTTGGAGATAGGAAGTCAACCTACTCTAGGATATGAATCAAACATTGGTGTCCCACAGACTGAAGTCAAATTGTACACATATTTTGTAAGCTAACACATTCTTTAAGTTCTCAGAAAGTCCCACATAAAATCCGGGCTCCAGGGTCTTTTGCAAAATTAGAAGGTCTATTAACAGTTGGGAAATATGACCATGAGATAAGTCCCAGCTGGATCTGAATTCAGTTGGCCTCTTTGAGACAGAACAAGGGCTCTGTGGTTGGCCACTCTCCACCATTCCCTATTGGGTGTGGACTGACCTTACACATCACCTGCCTGGTCCTGTGAGCATCACAGGTGTTTAAATCCTTGTCTAAATTATGAGCTCCTAGAGGGCAAGTATCACAATGTATCCTTCTCTGTGCATGACTGACTCAGGAAGGTATTTTAGTGAATAAACCACTTCCTTTTCACTCTTTGGTCCCCAGACATCTCTATCACTGCTGCCTCCCGCTCCTACTCTAACCATCTGCTGTTCTAACAATCACAGTATCCATTTGTCTGGGGAATGAAGGTGGAGACAATAGAAAGAGTCTTGGCAGAGGCAAGGAGGCAGGATCAGGGTAAGAAAAGGCTGATAAAACAGGCTACAGGTGAAACTGGTGGGTTACAGAATGCCATACTGCCCTGGAGAAATCATTTGTTTGTTTGGTTTTGGTTCTATAGGATGTCTCCCTAATTGTCTTAATAAGATGAGCCCTGATTTCCTCATTCCTGTTGCTAAATATTCAGATTCGAACATTCTTCAGGTTTGAGCAGTTAATGCTCCTCAAGCTGCAATCATAGTCCTTCTGCTGTGCTCCCCAGAGTTAATTACCCTCTCTATACCACCCTGGAGTCGGCCAGCACCAGTGTGGCTAGTGCCTCTGACAGTTCTGGCAGTATCCAGGGCCCAGCTCCTGATTCTGTTAGCTAATGGGGAGGTAATGACCCAGGCAGCTGCAGATCACTCTCCCCCTCTGCCCTGCTTTAAAAAAATACAAACAACAACAACAAAAAGCCCCACTCAGGCCAGCATTCTATTATTCCCTTCTTAATAAGGGCCTGGAAATGTCAGCCTCAGTGATTATGCCGGCAGGTGCCCAGACTTCAAAGTGGGCACCTGTCAGCGGAGGGATAATTGACTTTATTCAACCAATTGTCTCCCGGTTGTAATCAAGCCATTTCAAACAGATTTTTCAAATTGTTCTTTGGAGTTGTGGGGGAGGCAGTGGTGCTGATAGATGGCAATTACCACCGATGGGGGGAGAAGCTGAGGCCCTGAGCAGAGCTGTCTGCCTGTGGTGTCTGGCCCAGGGGAGGTCTGTAGGTGCGGTTAGGGAGAGGTGGAGCCTCCAGCTCGCTGGATCAGCCGTCTGCTGGTTTCTTTAGTTTGCCTCTGGCTGCGGTTAGACTCTGCCCAGTCTGCACAAGGTTTTGAACAGCAGATGCCCTGAGGGAACAACAGCAGGGTAGACCTCTGAGCCCACAGCCTCCCTTGAGGACCCAGGTGTGATGTGAACTTCAAACAGGCCAGCAGTGCTCTGAACTGAGATGGTTTAAGGGTCTCTGCACTCCTCAAAGGGGCTAAATCCTTCTTAGTCACAAGGCATCTTGCGGGATTTGACGGATCTGGTCCTCCAAGGTGCAGAAGGCTGAGGATTTGAACCAAAAGGATCCTCAGGCAGTAAAGGCATTCAGTGGTCCTCCAATTTCACACAGTGTAGACGAAACAAGTGCTGCTTTTCTGATGGGCTCTGGGAAGGTGGGGATACTGTGTGTTTAAATGAAAAATGAATTTGTTCACAATTTGGTCACAACTGGAAAGGCAGCAAATCTGCCATCCGCCTGTCCTACAGGAAAATCACAGTTTATAGGAACAAAAGCCCGGAAATATACCGATGTAGATTTGGCTTGGCTGTGCTGGCCAGAGATGTGTTCTAATTCGTCTCACGGGCTTCCACCCAGGTCAAGGGCAGCAGCTTTTTGATTTCCATTCTCAGCATGAGGAAGATGGGATGGAGAAATTCAGGTTCTCAGGAAATTGGGGAGCCAAAACAAATATGGGGCTTTTAATTTCAATGGTGCTCTGTTAGGGAAGAAGTGATCTTTGTCTATCACTCGGGAGCTACCACACGGCTGGGTTTTAGATTTTAGATTTTAAAGCATAAATTCAGGGCGAGGGCTGTTCAGTGAGACAAAGTCCTGTCCCCTAAATGAAAAATCTTATATTATGTAGATGTGCCTGGTTTGGGTTCCTGGCTCAGCCACTGTCTGACTTTGAGCAGGTTAGTTAAGGTCTCACTTCCATTATCTCAATGACAAAATGGGACAAAATTATTGTGAAAATGAATGAAACACTCAGCTGTGTAGCCCAGTGACTCGAATGCCTAGCACCCTTTCGTTGCTCAGTGAAGTGCAGATTTCTCCTCTCACTAGGCATAGGGTGGGACAGACCCAGAGTCCTGACCGTCCTGCCAGCTCCCACTGTACTCAGGTGCATTGAGACCTAAATCCTCGAGCACTGTCAGGGTCTGTGCCCACCAAATAGGTCCATGCCCCTGCCCATGGAGCTCATGCTAAATGGGACGTTTCACCTGACCTCACCAACATAAGGAATCTTTTCCAAGTCTAATTCTAATTTCTTTGAAAGAGAGGCCTTTTTGGATCTCTCTTCTGGTACTTGCTACTTTCAGCCTTCTATAATTTTTTTTAATTGTTAGTTGTAAGTAAAGGACACAATACCTTTATTTATTTATTTATTTATTTATTTATTTATTTATTTATTTATTTATTTATTTATATGTGGTGCTGAGGATTGAACCCAGTGCTTCACATGTGCCAGGCAAGTGTTCTACCACTGAGCCACAACCCCAACCCCAGCCTTCTATAATTTTCATTTACTTATTAAACATTCTATCTCCGGAGAGTTCAGTTTCTCCAGAAGAGACCATCCTTATGTCAACACCTATACTCAGTGGTGTTTTATGCACAGTAAATTAATTAAGTTAAAAGTATATATGCATACATATACATATATGTATGAATGTTTTTATATGCATGTATTTGTATAGATGGATTTTTAAAATCTATATTCTATCAATTATTAATGTCAACAAGTCCCAATGAATTAAATATGAGTATTACTAAATAAACACATTGCTAAGCCTGGGTCTCCTACAGTATTTTTTAAATGCTTGGGGAGCCAACTCCATTATTCTTTGTCACCAAGAATGTCTGACTTTTAGTGAAGAAAAAATATTCAATAAAATAACAGCTGGTACTGACCAAACCGTGACAAGAGGACATCAGTGAATCCATTCATCTTCCATTATTGAGGCATTAGTCCTGATTGGGTGGAAGGCAAGGATCAAAAGGAAAATCTTTTATCCAAGAGGAGAGGAGGAGGAAAAAAAAATGGCATCAAGGAAAGCCTGTGTGAGGAATTAAGCTAATAACTCTGTACGGGTCAGCCAGACGATGGGGAAAAAAAAGAAAGTGAGGATATATTGGGATAGCTTTCACCCACTAATCACTCAAGTGAGGGTGATCCAGAGCTTCAACTCCAAAGAGTTTTGGGGTGCTAGGTTCTGAATTATGAGTTATGTAAAGTCTTATAAGCCTATCAAATAGCAAGTGGTGTAGAAGTTTTAGCTATTTTTAATGTTACTATCGAAGTGTGGTTTTTCTCACTAACTCTGGTGACAGTATTACAAATAGTCATAGATTTTCATGTCCCCATTGTATCACAATTTATCAAATTTTATTTGTCCTGCTGGAAGGACACAGCAAAGACCTAAAAATGGCGGCCATCCTGCTCACCAGGGTTGGCTTTTGGGGCACATGGCCAGCACAGTCACAGGGAGCTCTGCTCTCAGTAGGCCCGCATATGGGGATTTATGGGCTGTCTATACAGTGTTGAAGTTGATAACAATTTTATCATTGAATTTGTTTTGTCAGTACAGTTCAATGGGACAATGGAGCATGTGTCAGAGGCTTGGAGGCCAAGTTCAGGAGCAATCCTGCCTCCCACCTCTCCCTGAAATGGACCAGTCTCCACCCAGCATCTGCAGCTGCCTTCCCTGGGGGCGATTTGAGGGGGGTGGAGTGTGCTCTGAGACACAGGTGAGGCCTTGGATAGCTATGAGGATCAGCACTCAGCCCTGAAGGATTCCTGGGCCCAACAGGGGTGAAAATTTAACTAGCAAATACAAAATACTAGGAGGGGTTGGAGAGAAAGAAGAAAGAAGTAAGGAAAAAATTTTTTTTTCTCCTGCTTTTTGAACAAAATCTCTAATGTTTTCCTTTTTCATAGGGCCCCTAAAACTATGGAGCTATTCTAAAGCTCAGCCTCTGGGTGCCACGAGCCGATACTCAGAGCAGTTCCTCTCGTGGACCCACAGCCACTCCACCCTGTGGGCTCATGACAGGCATAAGCGGAGAGTGGAGGTCACAGGCTGCAGTGGTTGCCACTAACATTTATTATGACACACTTATATTTCAGATAGAGGATATTCATGCTTTTCAGGGGCTGGATAGTGTTCTGTATAAACAAAAAACCTGGCATCCACTTGGTCAGAGTTGACTGAATGCTTTGACTTGAGATTATGACCTTGTAATCTCATTTCCCCTAGATCTATAACTCCATTAACTCAGGTGACAGTGAGGTTTCCAGAGATAGATTTTCTTGTGGTTTTACACTGTTACTCCCTACGTCACAGTACTGTGCTGTGTGTTTTAGTTAAATCTTCTTTGCACTTAGCTGTCTTCCTTGCAAGCCTTCCACATGACAGAAAACAGTCCTGTCACTGCCTGGGTCACAGGTACACTCCTCCTGCCCAGCATTTGCAGCATAATATCATGTTGCTTATATTTTAGTTGAAGTACTTTAAATCAGGGATACACACTCCAGGGATAACTAGGATTTTAATGAATTTAATCACAAGCCTGCATTCTAAGAGAAGCTACTATTAGAACTGACTATTTTTAGAATATTTGCTTATTTGCATGAAAAATGTTACAGGTGATTTTTTATTGGTGAAGTGAGTGGTTATATTAGACAGCCTAGAAATAATTATAAAGAAGTAGCTTTCTTTCCACATTTGGGTTCCAAGGGTCCCACCAGGCTACACTTGTCAGAGTGTCTTAGACCAGTGGACTCCATTATATAGCTGGTGGCCAGTTCCACTTGGGACAGAATTTTTGCTTTTCATTTGTTTTTATATCACAGTAATGACTATAGTTTACACCATGGCCTTAGGGGACAAGCACACACACACACAGGAAAAATTTCCAGAGAAAGTGCTACATTAACTTATGTAATATCTTTTGTTATTTTCTGTCCAACTCAATTCTACTGCATTTCATTTTGTCAATTGTTGGTTGCAACCCCTGAATTCATTTCAGAACACACTAGTGAGATGCAAACTGCAGTTTGAAAATTCATAAAATAGAGGCATACTAATCAGCTTTTCATTACCATAATGAAATATGTGAGACAGACTAACTTGATAAGAAAAAGGTTTATTTAGTTCCTGGTTGTGTTGGCTGAAAGTACACATGACAAAGTGCAGGCTTTGGGGCCAGAACTGTTCCTTGACTGCATCACACCATGGAAGGAGCATGTATGGAAGCAAGTGGTCACATCACAGAGTCAGACAGCAGAGAGGGGACAGGTATGCCCTTTTATCTTGTGAAAGCTAGCAAGGCCACATGACAGCTACCTCACACCTCCAGGGTCCTAATTTTCCACTAGGCCTCATCTTTTAAAGACTCTACCACCACCTAAGGCCACCACTCTGGGGACCAAACCTCCAATTACATGAACCCTTGGGGGACACCTAAAATATATCCAAACTGTAGCCAGAGGGTTAGCAGAATCTTACTACTAGAATATTGTTGCATATTCCATGAATAAGTTTGTCCTGCAAGATGTTGTGTAGAGGGGCCAACACAGCAAAGAATGAGTGATTCATTGAGTTTCAGGAGCAACAGAACCACATGCTTTTGTGTCACAAGGCTAATAAATGTGTTGTGGACCAGAATTTGGTCTGGGACTTCCATTTTAACACGCCATCAGGTGTTGAAGAGATAGGAGAAGAGATCTGTAATCACTGTGCCAACCACTGGACATTAATAACTGCCCTCCCAACCTAATAATTATGAATAAACATGTTGGTTTAGGCCAATTTGTAATTAATATAGTTTTTAAAATAAAAACACCAACAGGCATTGTGGTGGGTTGAATGGTGCCATTCCAAAAGTCAGGCCTACCCAAAACCTGTAAATATGATCTTATTCAGAAAAAAAGGGTCTTTGCTGATATAATTAGATAGTGAATATCATGCTTTTCTGGGGCTGGACAGTGTTTTATGTAAACAAAATCCTAGAGTCCACTTGGTGAGATTTGACTGAATGTTTTGATTTGAAATTATGTCCTTGTAATGCCACATTTTCTGTGTGGGCCCAAAATCTAAAGTTGAATGTTCTTATAAAAGGAAAAAAGAGGAGGATTTGGGAAGGAAGAGGACAGATAAGGGCATGTGTAGATGGAGACTGGGCCTGGTGATGCAGCCACAAGCCAACAAATGCTGGCAATCACCAGCAGGTGGCAGAAGTCAAGAATGGATCCTTCTCTAGAGGCAAGACGTTCCTACTGACATCTGGAGTTTAGACTTCTGATCTCTGTTCCTGTGAGAGAATAAAATGTCTGTGGTTTTAGTAATATGTTTTGGCAGCCTTAGGAAACTAAACCAAGTATTACGTGGACAAAACCCACAGATTCAGAATTCTGATAACCACACCCATCGCTCAGTCTCAACCAGTGTGATCTGTATAATCTCATTCTGAATAAAGGACTGATGATTTTTTTTGTGTGTGTGTGATGGGAATTGAACCCAGGGGTACTCTACCATTGAGAGACATCCCCAACCCTTTATAAAATTATTATTATTAGGGCTTTAAAGTTATACATAATAGTAGGGTTCTTCCTGACAAATTCATAAATGTATGGAAATTGATTTCAGTTCATGATCCCCCTTTCCTTCTCATCCTCCTTCTCCTATCCCATTTTCCTTCCTCTACTCTACCCGGCTTCCTTCTACTCATCTATTTATTTATATTTGATTGGTTCTTTCTACTTATGCATAAAGGTGAAGTTCCCTGTGGTATATTTATATATGTACATAATATGGTTTTTAAAGAATTCATTACCCATCCTTTTCATTCTGCCTCTTGATCTCCTTCTTCTACATTACTGATCTTCCTTTTATATTTATGTTATCTTATCTCCCCTTTCCTTTATTTTTTTTAACTGTAGCATCTGCATATGAGAAAAGATATTTGACCTTTGAGTTTCTGAGTTTGGCTCATTTCACTTAGAATGAAATTCTGTATTTCTATCCATTTACCCTCAAATGTCATAATTTTGTTCTTTTTTATGAATAAATAGAATATCATTGCATTTATATACCACAATTTCTAATCCATTCATCTATTGACAAAAACCTGGGTTGATTCCATAATTTAGCTATTGTGAATTGTGCTGCTATAAACATTAAAGTGGCTACATTGCTGTAGCATGCCGTGGTGGCTGTATTGCCGCAGTATGTCAATTTTAAATCTTTTATCTCTGACCCTTTTTATTTCTTATTTTGAGTCAGAGTCTTATTAAGTTGCCCAAGCTGGCCTTGAATTTGCAGTCCTCCTGCCTCAGCCTCCCTAGTAGCTGGAATTATAGGCATGTGTCATTGTACTGAATTAAGACTAAAGATATATTATAGTTCTCTTCATTTTGCCAATTATTTTTATAGTTGTCTTTTGGGAAAGAACTATTTCTTGTTTGATTCAAAATATTTCATAATTTACAATCTCTGTTAGTATTAATGGCTCAGTATTCCTTAGGGCAACAGGACAAACACTCACTTAGAATCATTTTTCAAAAGTTGTGAGTTGTATGCTTATTACATGCAAACAAAGATGAACCAAACTTTTCAAGAAGGAATAAGCAGTTGTGTATGACCAGAGTAATGATTCCAAGAGATTTTATTTCCTTAACAAAAGTGATCTTGGCGTGGGCATTGCTAAAAGATTGAAGTGCTATCTTTGTGCTAGTAAGGAAAAAGTGACAGCTTATCCATCAGGGTTTGGCATTCAAGATGGGTCCCATGATAAGACAGGCAGCATCTTTATAAGAAACACAACAGAAAAATAGAACAGGAATATAACATCAAAACCTCATATTTACCTTAACCAGACCAAATGAGAAAATTACAGACCCGCACATAGATCTTGTTAACTTTTTGAAACGGGTTTATCTCCAATAACACTCCTAAAAAAACAAGTATTTAAAATTTTTCTTTTGAAGCAATTACTTCCCTTCCACAAACCACTTAACTAAGCAAGCTTCTCTGTTTTAACTTCAAACCTAATGTGACACAGGTGTATATTTCAAGGCCAAATGATAATGGAAAAATAGATTATTTTATTTATTTTCAATGGTTACTGTGACAGGATAATTTGATCATTTCCACAGAATCATTAAATCAGAAAGGTTGCAAGTATCATGTAAATTGTATATGCAAATTGCCTTTGATAACACCAACATTTAATTGCCTCTGGAATCTAATAAAGCAAATGTTTTCAGTTTGCCCAGCAGCATTTATTTATCAGGGCCAACATGAAAATGACATTTGGGAAGAACTTAAATGACATAAAAGCCATTATAAAATGACAGTCTCATGATGATCTTGTTAACTGCTGTGGACATTTATGAGTGCTCTGTTTATTAGACAATTCCATTTCACTTTATGTTTCCAATCCTTCCTTTTAAATTTTTAAAAACTATTTTAATATGCTAATTTATTTTTAGGGTTTAAAAATAGATCTGAACTCCTATTATTCCATTTTAGCAACCCATGTCAAAAGATATACCTCCTCCATTACAAGGACTTATGCAATTTCTGGGGCCCCACTTACAGACTGGTCTGAGTTGGGTCACATGAACATCTCTGGACCAATCACTGCAGTGGCAGCAGTGAGGTTCTTCTATTAGCACCCCTTCCTTCCAGTGGGGAAAGATTATCTCCAGAGGAAAAGGTGGCTGTATTGTCAATGGAAGGGAGTAAAGGATGGAGCTGTTCAGAAAAGCCTTCAGGTGCATGCACATACGTACACTTAGACACGCACAACCACACAAACCTATAGATGTACTTGGACTCACTGAAAACATAGTGGAAGACGGTAACACACATCTATGGGTATGTGTTAGCAACATTTCTAGATGGTGGGATTAGTTGGGATATATAAACACACATTTTTCCTTGGTCTTGCCCAGATTCCGGTTATTTTGTCTTTTTTATACACAAATGTGTTTAGGCTTTGCTGAAACTGGTTTATTATTGTCAATGTGGAGATTTAAATCTTTGGCTCAACTTTTGCAGAGCGAATTTCAGGCAGTCAGAGAATAGAGGAGACAGTGTGTTTCTCACAGAACTTCTGTTGGCCAGAAACACATTCCTTTAATGGTATAAATGAATGGCCAGTGATCAGAATAGTTTGCGGACAGGGCTTAAGGGCTACCAAACTGTTGCTGCTTCTTGTTCATCTTCTGTGCATCCCAAGTAGAAGCACATCTTTGTCTGTTTTGCTCTTTTCATTCTCACACCTGGATTGCACATCAATTGTGAACTAATTCCATTCAAGCTCAGTTGAGAAGGTTTGAAACTTCTCACCTTGAAGAATTATTTTATTCAAACATTCCTCCTACCCATGAGAAACAAAATATTATCCAATTATAAATTATTCTAAAATCTCTCATTTTCTAAGCATTTATCATGTGCACACATTATTTCAATTTAATTCAATAAATTCTGGGTCACCATTCCATATTTTAGACAGGAAAGAAAGACATGGTTATTTAATTTGTGCAGATTCACACAATGTGAAAGTGACTGGACAAAGATTTGAAAGCAGATTCCAAGCCTGTAGTCTTGAAAGGGGAGAGCCTAATGCTGTCACATCCTAGCTATGTGATTTTCTCATCTATATGGTCAGAGTATTTGTAAATCCTGCCCAGCCTATTCATGGACTCCTGGCAAGTTCTATAAGTTGACACACAGGAGAGAGGTCTTCACATAATGGATCATGCATGCATACATGTGGTGTTCTTCCACAGACTGAGCCTCTAGGAGAATGACCAGAGAGGGTAGAAGCTTGTCTAGTGAGATTCAGGGACTAGGAACTTCAGGGGGTTGCACCATGAGTAGAGAAGGATAAAATGATGATATAGCATAGCAAGTCTGCAACTGTGGACTGGCAAGAGCCCAGGCAGGGTCTGGGTAAAGTCAGGTAACTAACTGTCCTAGTTTGCCTGGGACAGAGGGATTTCCCATGATGTGGGAAATTTTTTTTGCTAAATCTGGGAAAGTCTTGAGCAAGTCCAGATGAATCAGCTGCCCTGGTTAAGATGAAAATGTCTAGTCATCTCAGTAGCAATAAAAGGCATGTACCTGAGGAATATGACTTGGGAAACAATCATTTGAAAGTAGAGAGGAAAATAACCTCGTGGTGGAATTACCAGCTACTTAGGGGCAATTTGAGGACTGGAGCGTTCCACTGGGACATTACTCATGGTTCACAGTTTCCAGCTATCTCTCCAGCCTTCTTGGAAATGTTGAAGGAAAGGATTCACTTCCAGCAATCATGGAAGATCAGTGAACCACTCAGAACTGTAGCAGTTCTCCTACAAACTCCCAGCACTCTGGAAGCGAACTCTTCCCTGGGCTGCAAGCCTGTGGTCATTCATTTGGATTATGACACTCAGTCACCTCCAGGGAGAAAGAGAGAGCTTGACCAAGCGTCAGGAGCCAAGAGTGCAAGCATCTCAAATTTGCATGTAGCCTTGCTTTCCAGTGTGATTCCTAATGTGCCCTTTCCTTAGAAGACCCTCTCTTCTAAAAGATTCTTCAGTCCTCTGTCTGTGGAATTCTTGAGCTCTCTCCACTAGAGTCATTAAGTTCAGACAGGACTGAAGAGTCAAAATGGATCTGATACGGAAAAGCAAGCCTCCTATCCCATTCCACATCATTCCTCTGTGGAAAACTCTCCAGTGTTATTCTGTACTCTCAGTCCTGCACTTCAGATATGTTCATTCCAGAGCCAAATGGCCAAGGTTCAGCTCCTGGGGGCAACATATTCTATCAGCTGCATCCCCTTCAGAAAGTGAAATAAGGATTAATTTGCTTGGAGAATTAAACAAGTTAACACATGCAAAGTGCTCAGAACAGTGCCAGGAAGCTGTATGTGCTCAATAAGGATAAGTGCTTATCAGTTTTATCCACCTACCTGCTTGTTACACTAAAGTGCTATTTTATTGCTTTCTTTGGAAAGTGAGGTTTGAAAGTTCCCCTTCCTTGGTGTGGTAGGAGGAGCATGATTTTTTAAAAGTGCATGATTTTTCTCCAACATAATGAAATTCCTGAAAGTTTTGGTTTTCTAGTCTGCTAATCTGGATTAAGAGACCCTGAAAGAGGATTGAACAAGATAAATGCTTGACCAGTCCTTCCTAGGAACATCCAAAGAGCTTACGTTATGAAGTATAAGTATCGTATTAATCACTGTGTTAGGCAGTGTTCTATAAATGTAACAAAATACCTGAGACAATCAATGTAAAAAGAAGAAAGGTTTATTTTGGCTCGTGGTTTTGGAGGTTTCAGTCTATAGTTGGTTGGTGTCATTGCATTTTGGCCTGTGGCAAGGCCACATGCATATCATAGCAGGGGTGCACGGTAGAGGAGGTCAATTCCTGAAATGAAAATCAGAAAGCAGAGAGAGAGAGAGGAAGGGACTGAGGTTCCAATATCTTTTAGAGC